AAAACCAGTTTGAGTCTCACCATAGAATAGAAAGGGAACAAAGGTCAAAGGTTTCCAGCTTCTCACAGAATAAATGTGTCATTACATATACACAAACATAATTGATAACACAAAACTATTACTAAGTTTCCTTTAAATCAAAAACTTACACTTCACAATGCAAGACTGCAATATGGTCTGATGAATCAAGCGTAGCATTCCCAATCACCAGACGTGTTTACACTTTGCAAACACCATTCCAAGTTTGCAACCAAGACTTGTGCCAGTGGTATTGCATGGTGGCAGTGCAGTCTTGGTTTGGGCAGCCATATCTTAGTATTCTGCAGGCTCCATCATGACCTCGAAAGGTAGAGTCACTACCAGTGACTATGTATAAAGTTTGGCTGACCATGTGCACCCCATGGTGCAGACATTGTTTCCAGAAGTTAAAAAAAAATAGGTTGCGGTTAAATACATACAAAAGTGTAACAAAAAATTTAACAAAACAATAAGAAACAATATTTTAAAATAAAATCCAGCAAAAACGAAAGTACAAGAGTTCAAATAATCGATAATGTCCAAAATAATTAATCGCCAAGTGAATCCACCACCAAAAATGGTTAAATAGAACTCACCAGAGTAATATGCTGATTGTTGAAAAACCAGCATAGTACTTGTTACTCTGGGAGCAATAAATAATATGGTGACAGCAACACTGAAGAAATGAGGGATGAACTCCAACAGATGATGTGCTGCAAAGCTGAAAATCCACTCCAAAGGTGATTTAGTATCCAAACTGAGAGATGATCAGACCGTCACTCAAAAGAAAAATTTAACAATCATGGTGCAGTATGTTTTAAAAAGCATCAAACTTTAATGAAGAAATGCACTTACAAGCAAGGTGTCCAAACTGACACCAGTTTAGACAGCATGTGTAATGAATACAAGCGACTCAGACCCAGCTAAACATGCACATGCAACGTGCAAACAGACCAGGAGTGTTCTGAACGTTACATCCAAAGGCACTGCCCTAAGCTTTTCATAATCTATGTCCTCATCCGCTCCGTGAGGACGTCAATGACGAAAAGCTTAGGGCGGTGCCTTAGGATGTGCCGTTCAGAACACTCCTGGTCTGTTTGCATGTTGCATGTGCATGTTTAGCTGGGTCTGAGTCGCTTGTATTCATTACACATGCTGTCTAAACTGGTGTCAGTTTGGACACCTTGCTTGTAAGTGCATTTCTTCATTAAAGTTTGATGCTTTTTAAAACATACTGCACCATGATTGTTCACTTTTTTTCTTTCGAGTGACGGTCTGATCATCTCTCAGTTTGGATACTAAATCACCTTTTGGAGTGGATTTTCAGCTTTGCAGCACATCATCTGTTGGAGTTCATCCCTCATTTCTTCAGTGTTGCTGTCACCATATTATTTATTGCTCCCAGAGTAACAAGTACTATATGCTGGTTTTTCAACAATCAGCATATTACTCTGGTGAGTTCTATTTAACCATTTTTGGTGTTGGATTCACTTGATTATTTGAACTTTTGGACTTTTTCGTTTTTGCTGGATTTTATTTTGATTTAAAATATTGTTTCTTATTGGTTTGTTAAATTTTTTGTTACACTTTTGTATGTATTTAAGTGCAACCTATTTTTTTGAAGTTTTGTATATCCTATAAATTTATAGGCTAGGTTTTGCAGGTTACTGTTGTCTTATACAATTTCCGTGGTGCTGGTTCTTATATATTGTTTCCAGAAGACCAAGACGACAATGCTCCGATTCACACAGTTGGTGTTGTCAAATCGTGGTTTGAGGAGCATGCAGATGAATTCCCGCACCTTGCCTGGGCGCCACAGTCGTCAGTCCTTAATATCATAGAGCCACTGTGGTCTATTTTTAGGAGAACAAGGTTCACTCTTGTTTTCCGCCGCCAGCATCTCTGTAAGAACTGGAACAATTTTTGCATGATGAGTATTATCAGATCACATTATCCCCCATCCAAGACTTATATTTGTCATTTTCCAGGAGAATTCAGGCGGAAAGGTAGTCCAGCACCATATTGGGTAATGATTATGTTCATTTACTTGGTGTTTCCATAATTTTGTCCAACCCTTGTATCTAATTATAATATCAGCTGAAAGTGATGCTTCCAGTTTGCTAGGATACGCCTAAGTTCATATTACCTAGTTACTGAAAACTTGGGAAATCATGTCATGTAAAAGGAGGCCAGACTGCCTTAACAGAAAAGGACTGGTTGGCCCTATGCATTGAGAACCATTGTGTGCTCAATAAACCTGTTTATTACATTAATGCATTCCATTCTGAAAATCATTGGATTAACTTTATGGGTATGTTCAGACAAATGTTGAACTTCATCTTGCAGACTCGCAGCTTTCTTGCATTAATTGCCCTATCATGTATGGGCGAAATTAGGAAACAGGATTTTTGCAAATACTTGAGTAATGTAAGCACAGCTTCTTTTTATTTACTAGATTCAGAAAACATTCAATCTGCAAAATTAGCAGTATCTTTGCTTTAGTAGATCAACCCAATAGTGTTTAAAATTGGTGTATATCCATTACCATGCATTGCTCTTTAAAAGGCTGACCAGACGTGCATGTATTTCCTTCCATGTACAATGCAGGTAAATAAGTTTTCCACAAAAACATGATGTCCTTAACCACTTGCCTGCTGGGCACTTTTACCCCCTTCCTGCCAGACCAATTTTCACCTTTCAGCGCCGTTGCACTTTGAATGACAATTGTGCGATCATGCAACACTGTACCCATATGACATTTGTTTTCACACAAATAGAGATTTCTTTTGGTGGTATTTAGTCACCACTGGGTTTTTATTTTTTTGCACTGTAAATAAAAACATTTTGAAAAAAAAATGTATTATTCTTCAGTTCTGTTATAACATTTTGCAAGTAAATAATCGTTCTACACACATTTAGACCATAGTAACATTGTACTACTCTGGGCAAGTGATCTAGATTTTTATTTTTGACACATTATGATTGCACACACCTATGAACTTCATTGGTATAAGCAAGCATTTTTACTGATTGAAACAGATTCATTCAGTAGTTTTTGTTGTGATCAGCTGTAATTGGCAACAGCTGATCACATGCTACAGATGGGCTGTGATTGGTCCAGTCTGTACATGTGACCACTGTGACCAATCACAGCTAACAGCACAGTTGTAAGCAATGCATGGCGTGAAAGGAAGCCATTCTTTGTTTACAACTGTCATGTAATCTGCTGTCATTGATCGCAGCGATCACATGACACAGCGTGCCGATGTAGTGATCTGTCATTGGCCATGTCCGGTGGACACAGCTGGTGACAGATCCAGGATAATAGGGATCCTGCTCGGCCGTCATCTTACAATAAGTCGGGCGGGAAGGAATTAACATTGTTTTTGTTTACTGCACATTACTACAGGTATATGTTACATGTATGCATAGGGATTGAGGAAAAGGCTAGCCTTCTTAAACCAATAAGTGAAATTATGTGTCTGTCACTGATATATAACATCAGGGTCTTCACACACCAACACTGTTTGGGTTCTCTTCAACCACACCAAAAAAAAAACTTGGAAAACCTCAAACCTCCCATGTACACTGTCCAGGATAGAGCTTACCTCAAGGATAACCATGAAAAACATGCCATACAGAAAAACCATGAGCTGTAATGCAGATCAGCATGGGTGCGCCTTTTGGACCACCAAGATTCTTTTTTAGATCTAATTTTATATTAGAAAGTTGAAAATTATTAGAATTTTATATGTTAGAAATCATAATTATAATAGCTGCAGTTTTCCAAATAAAGCATAAATGGTATTTGCTTGAAATTCTGCAGCGCTTGTTAGGACACAGATTAATCATGCCGACTTTTGGATGAAAACTGACTGTCCTGTCCGTGTGTTTTCTGGTCATGGGAGAAAATTTGAACAACCACAGAAAACTCACACAAACGTGTGAGACATATCCCAGTTCCATAGAGATCAGTGCTGAAAGGAATGCTAACCACCATGCCATTCTGCTGACCAACATATTTTTGTTAAAGTATAACTAAACTAAAAACTTTTTTATAAGTTTTGGACAGAGTGGAGAGGGACACCTTTCATGTTTTATTGCTGTCGGTGTCCATATTGGGGGAGATTCACTCTATTTGTCCTGTGTACAGTTATCACCAAAAGTGAAAGTAAATGAAAATCCCACATTTTGGATTGTCCCCAAAACAGGAATAGAGGGGATATCTTCCAATGAGGACACTAGTTTCTGTGAACCTGGTGATTCACTCATTTTGGAGGGATTTCATCTCTTTCTGTTTTTGCTAAGGGACAGGAAGTAAAAGGACATCTCCCCAATGGGGCATACATGGCAAAAAAAGACAGGGGTTATAACCCTCCCTTATTCTATCCAGATTGAAAGAAACCATTTTGCCTTAAATTCTTCTTTAATGTATTGAAATCCCTCAGATAATTCTGACTCTGTGTGTTGTTTCATAGAGGAATTCCTGACATTTTGCATATTAATTAACAGGAACCATGAGTCAGAGTCTAAGGTTCCATTTGTTGATGCCTCCTGTTCTGACATGTCCAATCCTGTGTAATAATGCCTGACAAACGCCGTTCTGAATCAATGGGCTTCAGTCATTTTATAATAGCGAGTGTCCATCCACACTGTTCTGTTGCAGTAGTATGCTTTAATGCACATTACAGGTGTCAGTGTGTTGCACTGTTCATGTTCACTTGTACCCCACATGCATACTACAACATACGGTAACACACTGTTTGTTGTGATGCACTGTGTTGCTATTGAGGCATGTCGGATTTCTCCTTTTTAATTTTTTTTTTTTTTGTCTTTTGGTGTATTGGCAGCCCATTCATTTGAATTTACTGCCCTAATGCAAAAATGCAATATGTCAAGGAATGAATGGACCCAAAAATACAAAAAAGTGTTTTGGTTGGGATGTACTTGATTTAATTTGAATATTTTTTTTTTCTACACAGCTGGTTGTACAGCGCCTGGGATTTGATACCAGAATCACAGTTCTTGGACATGTACAACGAGGAGGAACTCCATCAGCCTTTGATCGTGTCCTGGTAACTTTTTTTTTTTTACATGTAAACAATTTCAGGACCATGCTTACTCTTGCCCTGTACCACTGTTTTAGTTACCAACATGAGAATGTTAAGTCAGGCTTATATTTCACCCTGGAAAATGTTTAAAACTCTGCACTATAGTGAGTGCATACCTTCCCTTCCAAAGCTCTTTACAATCTGCTATCTAAGGATGTTTGTAAAAATAAATGTTTATTTTTGTAAATTATTTTGTAATGTACTGGATACAGACTCCCTTGAATCTTGACTGTTTGTTATATGTCACCACCTTCAGGTGAGAACACTGGAAAACAAAGTTGTTAGAACAGCCTATAACTCCTCCCGCCCTCTGCATTCCTTCGTTTTTGGTAGTGTTTTTAGGTGATGGCTTCTCTCTAAGAACAGGTTTCTGGCTTATGATTCAGACTTCATTTGGTTGTTCACTTGAAGAAATGTCTTCTCCCCACTGCTACTTCATGTAACAAATCACAGACTGTGTTAACCCTTCCTGCTTCAACAATGTATTGCAAGTTCGCCTTGTGGGAATCTTTCATTTGCAGTGATACTATGGTCATAAGCCCAACTGTGGAAGCCTTGCAGGCCTTGTCTTCTTACAAGCAGCAAACAGCTCCTAGGGGTTCTGCAGCTTGTAATTTTTTACAGCAATATTACACTTTTAAATATACATTTTTAGATGCCTTTTTAGTAGTGTGTTGGAAGTTTTATAGATAGACAATTTCTATCTTAATATTAATCAGTGGTTCCAAATTAATAAATACTACTGCAGTAGAGAACAGACAAAATAACTGCTCTGTTTATTCGCAACATTTTTCTCATTTTTTATAACCATGGTTACATGGGTTTCACATTAATATTACAATTGTAGGGAGTACATGGGAGGGCTACTTTTTCATCAAAGAATGTGAATATGTAAAACATTATTAGTGTCATTATTAATGTCATGCACTGTGCAATAGATAAGCATACAAATTATAATTTTATACAGTTTTTAACATTTTTCCCATCAGTTTATAATGTAAAATTGCTTTTAAAGACTAAAGGGTCGATTTACTAAAACCGGAGAGTGCAAAATATGGTGCAGCTCTGCATGGTAGCCAATCCGCTTCTAATGTTAGCTTGGTCAATTAAGCTTTGCAAAAAACCGTGGAAGTTGATCGGTTTCTATGCAGAGCTGTAACAGATTTTGCACTCTCCAGTTTTAGTAAATCAATCCCAAAATGTTCATAATTTTAAGCCACAGTGCTGCCCAGGGAGCACATCCCTAAAGGCAGAACACAAAAAAAAAACAGCGGATTTGTAATTAAAGTTAATGTTTAAAGTGTTCTCATTTACGGAAAAATAAATGACCTTTTTATTTTCAAGATTCTTTGTTTATATATTTTTGTTGTTTGCAGAGCAGTAAAATGGGTATGGAAGCCGTTATTGCATTGATGGAAGCAACACCTGAAACTCCAGCCTGTGTTGTAAGCCTATCTGGTAACCAGTCTGTGAGACTGCCATTGATGGAATGTGTTCAAGTGGTATGCATTTTCATCTTTTTCTCTAACTTTGTAACCATAATATAATATTGAAGTTGCATTGTATTTTTTTTTCATGTAAAATGGATGATATTCATTCATTGATGGACACAGCCTTTCTTATCTTCTTATTCATGAAGAATATAGGAGTAGGACACTAGGCAGAAAAAATTTTAAAAAAAAAATTCAGCCCCTCCTATGGGCAGTCCTCACTATGGGCAGGCCAGAGAGTTAAACGTCTCATGGGGACACACATAGCCAGGTGCCTACAGTCTGTGTTACCCGCTGGCCTACAGCCTCGCCCCACTTCAGTGCACAGGAGGATCTGTCAAGGGAGTCTTACCTGCATGTTCCAGCTGGATAGGTAAATAGATGCCCTGTCCCTTCCCTCCTGGGTCATGGTGTGGGGCGCATGTACTCCCTGAGATTGTCAGCCCTGTGGGGGTCGTGGCACCTTTTTAAGAATTCCTTCTAGCATAATGGATCACTCCTCTTGTGGCGGATCCCACATCCATAGGCTGGACAATACAACCACTGTGCCAGTGGGGAATTTCCTTCCTTTTTCAGGATCCTAAAATCCTTGAAACAGCTTGCTCGCTGCAACCTAGTTACCATCGTCAACTGGCATTGTGGTTTGGAGGAATAGTGCCCCACCATTGTCAGTGGGTGGGACTCAAATAGGAAGAAGTGGAGCCTAAAAAGGAAGGGGTGGGTCTAAAACAGGAAAGGGTGGGACAAATTTAGATACGGGGGGGGTGCCCGATTTTAGTCTTGCCTAGGGCAGCACAAAACCAAAATACACCACTGAATAAACTGTAACAGTCAATTGTGGTCGTGCACTGGAACTTATATCCATAGGTATAGGATGAAGGGGGGGGGCCTGTGGAATATGGGGGTCATACATCTGTATAGGATGGGAGGTTGAGGTATATAGGGAGTCATAAGTCTATACAGAATGGGGGAGATGTGCTAAACAGGGGCTCATAAGTCTGTGCAGGATGGGGGATAGAATATGTCTATGCAGAATGGAGTGCTGTGGTATATAGGTTGTCATAAGTCTGTACTGGATGGGGGGCTGTGGTATATAGGGGTTCATATATCTATACAGGATGGGAGGCTGTGGTATATAGGGGTACCTATAGTTAGGTCCATATAAATTTGGACACAGGCACAATTTTAGTTTTTTTCAGGTATTTACCAAAACATATTCAAGCTATAGTTATATAATGGATATAGGCTGAAAGTGCACACTATCTGGTTTAATTTGAGGGTATGAACATCCAAACTGGAGGAAGATTTTAGGAATTACAGCTCTTAAGAATAGCCATCCCCTCTTTTTCAAGGGTCTAAAAGTAATAGGACAATTGAATCAAAAGCTGTTTCATGGCCAGGTGTGGGCTACTCCTTCGTTATTTCTTCATCAATTAAGCAGGTAAAAGATCTGGAATTGATTCTAAGTGTGGTGTTTGCATTTGGAATCTATTGCTGTGAACCTACATCATGCGTTCAAAGGAGCTGTAGATGCAAGTGAAACAGACCATTGTAAGGCTTCAAAAATGAAACAAATCCATCAGAGATAGCAGCAACATTAGGAGTGGCCAAATCAACAGTTTGGTACATTCTGAGGAATGAAGAACGCACTGGTGAGCTCAGCAACATAAAAAGGCATGGACGTCGGCGGAAGTAAACAGTGGTGGATGATCGCAGGATCCTCTCTGTGGTAAAGAAAAACCCATTCACAACATCCAGACAAGTGAAGGACACTCTCCAGGAGGTAGGTATATCATTATCAAAGCCTACAATCAAGAGAATACTTCACAAGAGCAAATACAGAGGGTTCACCACAAGGTGCAAACCATTCATTAGCCTGAAGAATAGAAAAAACCAGATTAGACTTTGCCAAAAAAATATCTATATAGTAAATACTAAGAAGCGTTCACAGGCCTAGTTGACAGGATAGAACCGGGCTTGACAAATTTGCTTTGGAGTTAGGAGGCAGTTTTCTTTTTAACTAACAAAGCTTTATTTTCAATGACAAATCCCCTTCTCTTATGTAGCCCTGAGGTGTATCTTTACAGATGCACAAAACAGGGTACTCACCTCTGCCATTAAAAGAGCGCACTCTCTCTGATTCAAATACCATAAATACATTCTTGTCCAGTTTCTATAGTGCCCAGCTCAATGCCATGACAACGAGGTAGCGCACCGCACACCTGACCCCCGCCATATACCACAACATCTTCCATCCTGTATAGACGTACAGTTACAGTTGCAAGAAAAAGTATGTGAACCCCTTGGGATTACGTGGAGTTTTGCATGAATTGGGCATAAAAATGTGCTCTGAGCGTCTAAGTCACAACAATAGAAGAACACAGTCTGCTGAACATAATACTACACAAACATTAGATGTTGCCATGGTTTATTTGCACATAACATGTAAACATTCACAGTGCAGGGAGGAAAAAGTATGTGAACCTTTGGACTTAATAACTGGTTGACTCTCCTTTGGCAGCAATAACCTCAACCAAACGTTTCCTGTAGTTGCAGATCAGACCTGCACAACGATCTGGAGTAATTTTAGACCACTCCTCTTCACAAAACTGTTTCAGTGTAGCAATATTCTTGGGATGTCTGGTGTGAATCGCTCTCTTAAGGTCATGCCACAGCATTTCAATCGGGTTGAGGTCAGGACTCTGACTGGGCCACTCCAGAAGGCGTATTCTGTGCTGTTGCCGCCATTGTTTTGTTGAATTACTTGTATGCTTTGGGTCATTGTCCAGTTGCATCACCCATCCTCTGCGGAGCTTCAGTTGGCGGACAGATGGTGGTACGTTTTCCTGCAAAATGTCTTGATAAACTCTGGAATTCATTTTCCCATCAATGACAACAATCCGTCCAGGCCCTGAGGCAGCAAAGCAGCCCCAAACCATGATGCTCCCTCCGCCATGTTTTACAGTGGGGATGAGGTTTTGATGTTGGTGTGCTGTGCCTTTTTTTCTCCACACATAGTGTTGTGTGTTCTTCTTCCCAAACAACTCAATCTTGGTTTCATCTGTCCACAATATATTTTGCCAGTAGTGCTGTGGAACATCCAGGTGCTCTTTTGCAAACTTCAAATGTGCTGCAATATTCTTTTTGGACAGCAATGGCTTCCTCTGTGGTGTCCTCCCATGTACTCCATTCTTGTTTAATGTTTTCCTTATTGTAGATGTGTCAACAAAAATGTTAGCATGTGCCAGAGATTTCTGTAGGTCTTTAGCTGACACTCTGGAATTCTTCTTTACCTCATGCAGCATTCTGCGCTGTGCTCTTGCAGTCATTTTTACAGGACGACCACGCCTAGGGAGAGTAGCAACAGTACTAAACTTTCTCCATTTGTAGACAGTCTGTCTTACCATGGACACATGAACATCAAGGCTTTTGGAGATACTTTTGTAACCCTTTCCAGCTTCATGCAAGTCAACAATTCTTGATCGTAGGTCTTCTGAGAGCTCTTTTCTGCGAAGCATGGTTCACATCAGACAGTGCTTCTTGAAACCAGTAAACCCAAACCAGGTGTGTGTGTTTTTTAAGGGCAGGACAGCTGTCAGCAACACATCCAATATCATCACACTGATTGGAGTCAAGGTTGGCTCACTCCTGGCTCCAATTAGCTCTGGGAGAAGTCATTAAGCTAGGGCCTCACATACGTTTTCCTCCCTGCACTGTGAATGTTTACATGTTATGTGCAATTAAACCATGGCAACATCTAATGTTTGTGTAGTATTATGTTCAGCAGAGTGTGTTCTTCTATTGTTGTGACTTAGATGACGTTCAGAGCACATTTTATGCCCAATTCATGCAAAACTCCACGTAATCCCAAGGGGTTCACATACTTTTTCTTGCAACTGTAGGTCCATATATATTTGGACACAGGCACAATTTTACTTTTTTTTCAGGTATTTACCAAGACATATTCAAGCTATAGTTATATAACGGATATGAGCTGAAAGTGCACGTTCTCAGGTTTAATTTGAGGGTGTGTACATCCACATTGGAGGAAGGGTTTAGGAATTGGCTCTTAAGAGTAGCCATCTGCCCTTTTTCAAGGGACCAACAGTAATTGGACAAATGAATATAATAATAATTAAAATGTTCATTTGTAATATTTGTAATATTTTGTTGAGAATCCTTTACTGGCAATGACTGCCTGAAGTCTGGAACCCATGGACGTTACCAAAGACTGGGTTTCCTCCTTTCTGATGCCCTGCCAGGTTCTAACTGCAGCTCTCTTTAGTTCTTTGTTTGTGGGTCTTTGTGCCTTTAGTTTTGCCTTCAGCAAGTGAAATGCATGCTCAAGTGGGTTGAGATCAGGTGATTGACTCAGCCATTGCAGAATATTCCAATTCTTTTCCTTCTAAAGCTCCTGGGCTGCTTTTACAGTGTGTTTTGGCTCATTGGCCATCTGTACTGTGAAGCGCCGTCCAATCAACTTTGCTGCATTTGGCTGAATCTGGGCTGACAGTATATCTCTAAATACCGCAGAATTCATCCGGCTGCTTCTGTCACATCATCAATAAACACCAATGACCCAGTGCCACTGGAAGCCATGCATGCCCATGCCATCACACTGCCTCCACCATGTTTTACAGATAACGTGTGCTTTGGATCATGAGCTGTTCCAAGCCTTCTCCACACTTTTTTCTTCCCGTCATTTTGGTACAGATTAATCTTCGTTTCATCCATCCAAAGAATGCTTTTCCAGAACTTATCTGGTTTTTTTAGATGTTTTTTGGCAAAGTCTAATTTGGCTTTTTTATTCTTCAGGCTTATGAATGGTTTGCACCTTGTGGTGAACCGTCTGTATTTGTTCTCGTGAAGTCTTCTCGTGATAGAAGACTTTGACAATGATACGCCCACCTCCTGGAGAGTTTCCTTCACTTGTCTGGATGTTGTGAATTGGTGTTTCTTTACCATAGAGAGTATCCTACGATCATCCACCACTGTTGTCTTCTGTGGGACATGCCTTTTTATGTTGCTGAGCTCACCAGTGCGTTCTTCTTTCCTCAGAATCTACCAAACTGTTGATTTGGCCACTCCTAATGTTGCTGCTATCTCTGATGGATTTGTTTAATTTTTGAAGCCTTACAATGGTCTGTTTCACTTGCATCTACAGCTCCTTTGAACGCATGATGTAGGTTCACAGCAATAGATTCCAAATGCAAATACCACACTTAGAATCAACTCCAGAATTTTTTCCTGATTAATTGATGAAGAAATAACGGAGTAGCCCACACCTGGCCATGGAACAGCTTTTGATTAAATTGTCCAATTATTTTGGTCCCTTGAAAAGAGCTGTAATTCCTAAACCCTTCCTCCAATTTGCATGTACATACCCTAAAATTAAACCTGAGAGTGTGCACTTTCATCCCATATCCAATATATAACTATAGCTTGAATATGTTTTGGTAAATACCTGAAAAAACTAAAATTGCGCCTTTGTCCAAATATATAAGGACCTAACTATATATGTACATTGTACCCATTGTGTTCACAGATTTTATATCCAAAAGCGGTGTACAATTCCACAGATATATACAAATATACTGTAGAAATAAAAGCCTGGACTTTGTTATACCACAAGGCAGCAGCATTAAACGCTACTTTTGCTTGCAATTGTACATCCACTAAATATACACTGAATTTGAAAAGGTGAAAAATGTTTTTACAGTGAGCTGTGTTTTAGTTTTTAATAGTTTTTTTAATTCATTCAAGACAAAGGATGTACAAAAAGCTATGGAGGAGAAGAAATTTGAGGAAGCAATTCAGTTAAGGGGAAGGTAAGCCACTAGCCTTTGAAAATCTAAGTACATTTTATTCAAATACAAAAAGTATATTGAGTTAGTGTAACTGATATCTTAAAACAGTTTAATAGTATTTATTATGTAATTTCAAAAGGTTAAAGTGTTACTATACCCAGGACCCTGCATTCACTATATCTGGTCTCCCACAGTACACAACATGGAAATGCAATTATTTTAGTAAATATAAACTGCTAAATACCTTTTCTCATCAGCAATATATAGCAGTCTGATCACTGGCCCTGTGCTGATCACAGACACCCTCCCAAGTAAAAGAAAACACTCTCCATCAAAATTAAACAAACTGAGCATGTGCAGAGTGTCCCCTAGGCTGTGTTCTGTAAGGAGATGGAAGAGGGGGAAGATCAAAGAAGACATGATCAAACAACCTTTTTACACAATGCAGAGGATTAACCCCTTAAAGTGAAGTTCTACCCAAAAGTGGTTTTGACAGGTACCCGCTCCCACTTCCGGCTCAGTTTGCCTCAGTGAAGTGAGCCGGAAGTTCAGCCCCCTCCTATCGCCCGCAGTCTCCTGGGAACTTTCACAGGTACCAGAAGGCTGCCGGACCAATCAGGAGGCGCAGTGCGACTCGCACATGCGCAGTGGGCACCAGATTGTGAAGCCGCAAGCTGTCACAGCTTGGTGCCCACAGCTGAGATGCCGCCGTAGAGGAGAGAAGGGACGGTGGACCCTGGGACAGGTAAGTGTGTATTTATTAAAAATCAGCAGCTACAGTTTTTGTAGCTGCTGACTTTTAATAAACACAAAAACAGCTGAAACTCTGCTTTACGTTCCACAATGAATACAACAAGCATGCATTACTGCATATGCAGATTGATTTTACTGTTGTAGGTTTAGTAACACTTTAAGCATCCGGGATGTGTAGGAAGGATATGGTAGGATAGACATGGTGGGAAAGGGAGTGGGTGGTTTGTGTTGTCTTAACTTACTGCTCCCCTTAAGTGCAGAAATATAATTGGGAGGGGGAGAAAATTATGAGAGTTGTCTGATTATTTTCTGGCATTAATTGCCAGTGATGACTACTATTCATTTATCTGCAGATATTAAACTTACTACTAATACTATTGATCCGTACATTTTATCCTTTCCAAAATGCCCCATTTTTGGCTTCCAATAATGCTATGAGAGTTAATTGTCTTTGCAGGATCTAACCAACCCCATACAGCCTTTTTAGCTGGCAAATCCATAAACAGGACATTTCAGTTCCAGATAATTAGGGGGTAGTGATGAGCAGCATTGGCAGATACTGCTGACACTGACTTGGTGGGGAATAATCACAATCTGAGCTAGTTTTCTAACCCATTGAACAATGTCAGGCCAGGGCTTGGAGATCCCAGTAGGTTTAGGATTGTGACCTAACTTTGGCCAAAAACCTTCTACTAAAAACCTTCCTAAAGACACTTCATTGTCCAGCAGGTCCAGGGGTGGACTGACCATTTGGAAACTCAGGCACTGCCTTAGGGCCCGGGGTCAGTAGGGGGCCCAATGAGATGCCCCTGGTACCTTTTTCATAGGCTTTTTTGAGTTTGGGCAAGGACACAGGGGCCCCATGATCCCCTATTGCCCGGGGGCCCCATGAGTTGTCAGTCTGCCCCTGAGCAGGAATACAGTCTCCAAGAACAAATTGGTTGGACAGCAACAGATCATAATAATTCCTAAGCTCACAATGCTAATATTTCTTTAAGGCAGGCAGTCACCAGTCCCAACAGCAGTATTAAAGCTGATCCCTGGGGAACTAAAAGTCCTCCCTTGTAATGGCGCTGTGCCCACACTGCAGGGTTTTACTTCTTGTTTATGTCTTGGGAACTGGGTAAAGCAATTTTATTTACCCGATCCTTTGCTTCTTTGGGCTTCTCCGTGGAGACTGCCCTTGAGCATCTTCTCCCCTGCACTCCAGCGGTTTAAGATCATCTTTTATCATCAAGATTTATGTAGGAGCCATAGCTCTGCTATGGACTTGGTGACGCCGAGGGACAGCCCACTGCTTAAGCAGAGGACAGTTGAGGAACAGGTAAGTAAAAGTGTTCTTGCTGCTCCCTACACTAAATTAGAATTATACCCTGCAGTTTGGGGGCAGCTCTGCTGCAAGAGAAGACTTTTAGTTTCCCTTAATGTTGAGCTTTAAGGAAAAGAGTTGCATCAGTAATATCAAGGGTGGTTATACCAACCCTTGCATCGATAAAGGCAACTGCAGCAACCTCCATTAGACCTAGATCATTTACTACTGTCCCAGCATCCCCATGTATGGAGCCTCATTTTCTCTGACACCAAGCTTTTGCTTCTCAGCTTTCTCTGCCTCCCTTTCGAGCCGCTGTCCCTAGCCTCCCATTTCTACATGTTGTGCACACCAAGCCTCTCTCCAGCAACTGCAGACTCAGCCATGAATAGGGGCTACCAATATCAGTTCTGACAAAATCACATCTCTTATATTTTACAAAAAAAAGGTTAATATAAAGTTTGAATGCATTAAAATGTTGTTTTTTTTTTTTTTTCTGTACACAAAATATGTGTGATAAACTCACTAATAATGGTGTCCTTTTATGACACAGAGAATAGCTGCGATTCAACGGATCTCAGCTATTCTCTGGTCATTCACAGTTTATAACACTCAGGAGATCCTGTCAGCCCTTCTCTGGAGATCTGTGTTCTCCGTCCAGATTCTCCAGCCCAGAGCTGGAGAATCAGAGGGACCGAAAACTAAGCAGAGATAATTTACCTCTGCTTAGTAAACTGGTCTTTTACTATAATCTGGAGAGATTATAGTAAAATGAGCCGTTTTTCAGAGTTTGTAGACCGTTATCCAGCGTTTGGAGACCGTTCTCCCTTGTTCGGAGAACTGCTTCATAAACTGCATTCACAGGAGAACTTTGTTCTCCGAGAATGCCGGAGAACTGAGCAGCGATCTATTACCTCTGGTTCACAAACGGACACCATTGTGTGGCATGAAAAATGTAACTGCAGGTTGTTTACTTTTAGAAAAAAATATAATGTTTGCGTGTTTTAACTACTCTACAGGCCTAAAGCATGCATTTTAACACGTGTAAAAATGTCTGTTAAAATGTAAGATGTTAAAATTTCCATGGCTATGTTCCTTCCAAAAAAACTACGCTATTTGATTTAAAGAAAATTATGAGCTCCTTAATGTACACTTAATAATTTTATCTTGCAGGAGCTTTGAAAATAACTGGAACATATACAAGCTTCTTTCACACCGAAAACAGTCTGAAGAGAAGGTAACCTAACCACAGTTGAAAGGTGTCTGGTTTAGGCGTTGCCAAAAACTATAACCTAGAATCACTGCTGTGTATCACTATCGTATTTTTCCCCCCTCTTCTCACAATCTCTGTTCATCTCTACTTTGACTGTTTTTTTGTTGTTTTTTTTTTTTTTCTTTTATAGCTTCAGTGATTCAACCACTTCCCGACCGTCCGGCCGCAATGTACTGTGGCTGGGTGGCAGCTGCAGGCAAAGCAACGTACCTGCATGTCGCACTGACTGTACTAACACAAGGGGGTGCTGCACACCCGAGCAGGCGCGCAGCACTCCCCCACAGCGGCTGCTGTGTCCGGCGGACACAGTAGAATGAAGATCCCTGTGAACGGGACCCAGTGATCATGTGATCGCTATGCGATCACATGATCACAATGTAAGCAAAGCTGTTATGAATCAGTCTCATTCATAACAGCTCTGCTTCTCTTCCTAATGAGCTGTGATTGGCCCACAGCTGTCACATGATACACGGGGCCAATCACAGCAGAAGAAAAATTAGCAAATGCTTCAACTCCTGCACTGGATGATGGACTCACAATGACTGTAACCAACCATAGGATGCCTATAGGATGCTGCCCTCAACAGACCAGGGAAATCCAAATGAACTGCATACAAAGAAACAGAGGGCGCACTGGCCTAGTGCATTACCTAAGAAAATTGGTTTATTGTATAAAAAGTGATATACTCACAAAAGGATAAAAATCAAAGGTACATTATATGAAATACAGCATGGTCCAATCTCGCTGGATGGTGTCTAAAAGGGGATTATAGATCTCTAAATCTGACGCGTTTCGAGGCTACGCTTCTTCCTCAGAGCCCCTTTTAGACACCATATAGGGAGATTGAACCATGCTGTATTTCGTATGATGTGGCTTTGATTTTTATCCTTTTTTGTGAGTATATCACTTCTTATACAATAAACCAATTTTCTTAGGTAATGCACTAGGCCAGTGCGCCTTCTGTTTGTTTTTTTTGTATGCGGCCAATCACAGCACCCTGTATCTTGTGACCAGCTCCGGCCAATCACAGCACCCTGTATCTTGTGACCAGCTCCAGCCAATCACAGATAACTATCATGAGCTGTCAAAATCCTAACTCGTTGATGTTAGTTTGTTTCTCCTGCAAGGCAAAGTGTAAAAAAAAAAAATAAAAAAATCCCTGACCACCCCTCCAACAGTAGTTCTATGTTACTATGGTAACATTGTACTAGTCTGATAAAAGTATTTAAAAAAAAAAAAAAAGTGTTAAAAAAATGAAATAAAAAATACCATTTAAAAAATAGAAATATTTTATTTCTATTTGCCAGCCGCTTACCCGCTTACATTTTGCGTGCGAGCAGCAGCTCTTGGCAAAGCGATGTAGTCTTGCATCACTTCCTGTTTTGGGGTGTGAACATACCTGCCCCCCCCCACGCCGGTTGGTCCAGGGAGAGAAGAGAGAACACAGCACTACATTTACACACACACACACGTTAGATTAGAACATTTAACCCTTTGATCGCCCCATTAACGCTTTGATTGCCCCATCACCCAGCCAGTGCCATTAGTACAGTGTCAGTATATAAAATTTTTCATTGCATTCCTACCACTGTCGACATCAGATAATGTAAGTAAGCACCCCACCCAGCCAGGGTTAGCTAACGTTAGATTGCCCACACACTATCACACTTGTGCTATAGATCGCTGATCACCCCCATTACTAGTATAGTGTTTGTACGGATCAATATAATGATCATGAACAGATCTATACTAGTGCCTCCTTTGTATAGTGTCCCTAAAAACATAGTGTTAGCAGGGTCAGCCCTGTTTGCTGCCAGCACTAGCGCTTAGCCCCTTCGCTGTTTTTCATGGAAGATTTGTACCAATTGATTGTGGGCCAAAGCAATTTATACTCATCGCCGGCCACCCAAATTCAACTCTTGCCAGACAATTCGCATGGAAACCTATCATAGTTTCTGAGTTTAAAACTTTTTGGGCCTAACCCTCAACATGGGCATTACAAAAAAGAATGAATTACGGTCGTATTGGTCCACAGATCCGATTCATCGTATATCCATGTTCTCTGCTGTTACATACAGTATACAGTTGCAAGAAAAAGTATGTGAACCCCTTGGAATTACGTGGAGTTTTGCATGAATTGGGCATAAAATGTGCTCTTAACGTCATCTAAGTCACAACAATAGAAGAATACAGTCTGCTGAACATAATACTACACAAACATTAGATGTTGCCATGGTTTAATTGCACATAACATGTAAACCCCCCTAAGTGAAAATGTCCAAATTGGGCCCAAAGTGTCAATATTTTGTGTGGTCGCCATTATTTTCAATCTTGGCAGCAATGCTAGCAGCACTCATTCGTCTATTTCCCAAAGAGAACTTCTGGATATGACGCTGAGCACGTGCACTCAACTTCTTTGGTCGATCATGGCAAGGCCTGTTCTGAGTGGAACCTGTCCTGTTAAACCGCTGTATGGTCTTGGCCACTGTTCTGCAGCTCAGTTTCAGGGTCTTGGCAATCTGCTTATAGCTTAGGCCATCCTTATGTAGAGCTACCTTTCTTTTTTTCAGATCCTCAGAGAGTTCTTCGCCATGAGGTGCCATGTTGAACTTCCAGTAACCAGTATGAGAGATTGAGAGCGATAACACCAAATTTAACATTTAACCTGCTCCCCATTCACACCTGAGACCTTGTAACACTAACGAGTCACATAACATCGGGGAGGGAACATGGCTAATTGGGCCCAATTTGGACATTTTGACTTAGGTGTGTACTCACTTTTATTTCCAGCGGTTTAGACATTAATGGCTGTGTGTTGAGTTATTTTGAGGGGACAGCAAATTTACAGTTATACAAGCTGTACACTCACTACTTTACATTGTAGCAAAGTGTCATTTCTTCAGTGTTGTCACATGAAAAGATATAATAAAATATTTACAAAAATGTGAGGGGTGTACTCACTTCTGTGATATACAGTGGAGCAAAAAAGTATTTAGTCAGCCACCAATTGTGCAAGTTCTCCCACTTAAAAAGATGAGAGAGGCCTGTAATTGGCATCATAGGTAGACCTCAGCTATGAGAGACAAAATGAGAAAAAAATCCAGACAATCACATTGGCTGATTTGGAAAGAATTTATTTGCAAATTATGGTGGAAAATAAGTATTTGGTCACCTACAAACAAGCTTTCTACAAACAAGATTTCTGGCTCTCACAGACCTGTACCTTCTTCTTTAAGAGGCTCCTCTGTCCTGCACTCATTACCTGTATCAATGGCAACTGTTTGAACTTGTATCAGTATAAAAGACACCTGTCCACAACCTCAAACAGTCACACTCCGACTCCACTATGGCGAAGACCAAAGAGCTGTCGAAGGACACCAGAAACAAAATTGTAGACCTGTACCAGGCTTGGAAGACTGAATCTGCAATAGGCAAGCAGCTTGGTGTGAACAAATCAACTGTGGGAGTAATAATTAGAAAATGGAAGACATACAAGACCACTGATAATCTCCCTCAATCTGGGGCTCCACGCAAGATCTCACCCCGTGGGGTCAAAATGATCACAAGAACGGTGAGCAAAAATCCCAGGACCACACGGGGGGACCTAGTGAATGACCTGCAGAGAGCTGGGACCAACGTAACAAAGGCTACCATCAGTAACACTATGCCGCCAGGGGCTCGGATCCTGCAGTGCCAGACATGTCCCCCCGCTTAAGCCAGTACATGTCCGGGCCCGTCTGAAGTTTGCTAGAGAGCATTTCGATGATCGAGAAGAGGATTGGGAGAATGTCATATGGTCAGATGAAACCAAAATAGAACTGTTTGGTAGAAACACAACTCGTCGTGTTTGGAGGAGAGAGAATGCTGAGTTGCATCCAAAGAACACCATACCTACGTGTGAAGCATGGGGGTGGCAACATCATGCTTTGGGGCTGTTTCTCCGCAAAGGGACCAGGACGACTGATCCATGTACAGGACAGAATGAATGGGGCCATGTATCGTGAGATTTTGAGTGCAAACCTCCTTCCATCAGCAAGGGCATTGAAGATGAAACGTGGCTGGGTCTTCCAACATGACAATGATCCCAAACATACCGCCCGGGCAACAAAGGAGTGGCTTCGTAAGAAGCATTTCAAGGTCCTGGAGTGGCCTAGCCACTCTCCAGATCTCAACCGCATAGAAAACCTTTGGAGGGAGTTGAAAGTCCGTGTTGCCCAGCGACAGCCCCAAAACATCACTGCTCTAGAGGAGATCTGCATGGAGGAATGGGCCAATATACCAGCAACAGTGTGTGCAAACCTTGTGAAGACTTACAGGAAACGTTTGACCTCTGTCATTGCCAACAAAGGATATATAACAAAGTATTGAGATAAACTTTTGATATTGACCAAATACTTATTTTCCACCATAATTTTGCAAATAAATTCTTTCCAAATCAGCCAATGTGATTGTCTGGATTTTTTTTTCTCATTTTGTCTCTCATAGTTGAGGTCTGCCTATGATGCCAATTACAGGCCTCTCTCATCTTTTTAAGTGGGAGAACTTGCACAATTGGTGGCTGACTAAATACTTTTTTGCCTCACTGTACACTATATTGGCAAAAGTATTGGGACACCCCTCCAAATCATTGGATTCAGGTGTTCTAATCACCTCCATGGCCACAGGTGTATAAAATCAAGCACCTAGGCATGCAGACTGCTTCTACAAACATTTGTGAAAGAATGGGTCGCTCTCAGGAGCTCAATGAATTCAAGCATGGTACTGTGATAGGTTGACACCTGTGCAATAACTCCATCCCTGAAATTTCCTTGCTACTAAATATTCCATGGTCAACTGTTAGTGGTATTACAACAAAGTGTAAGCAACTGGGAACAACAGCAATTCATCCACGAAGTTGTAGGCCACATAAAATGACAGAGCAGGGTCAGTGCATTCTGAAGTGCACAGTGCGCAGAAGTCACCAACTGTCTGCATAAGTCGCCAACTCTGCAGAGTCAATGGCTAAAGACCTCCAAACTTCATGTGGCCTTCCGAAGTGCAATGCAAAGCATTGGATGCAGTTGTGTAAAGCACGCCACCTCTGTATTCTAGAGCAATGGAGATGTGTTCTCTGGAGTGATGAATCACGCTTCTCTGTCTGATAATCCGATGGACATGTCTGCGTTTGGAGGTTGCCAGGAGAACAGTACTTGCCTGACTGCATTAAGCCAAGTGTAAAGTTTGATGGAGGGGGGATTATGGTGTGGGGTTGTTTTTCAGGGTTTGGACTTGGCCCCTTAGTTCCTTTGTGGGAACAGTGTGGGGATGGCCCCTTCCTGTTCCAACATGACTGCGCACCAGTGCACAAAGCAAGGTTCCATAAAGACATGGATGAGCGAGTTTGGGGTGGAGGAACTTGACTGGCCTGCACAGAGTCCTGACCTCAACCCGATAGAGCACCTTTGGGATGAATAAGATCGGAGACTGTGAGCCAGGCCTTCTCGTCCAACATCAGTGCCTGACCTCACAAATGCACTTCTGGAAGAATGGTCAAAGATTCCCATAGATACACTCCTAAACCTTATGGACAGCCTTCCCAGAAGAGTTGAATGTGTTATAGCTGCAAAGGGTTGGCCAACTCAATATTAAACCCTACAGACTGACTGAGATGCCTTTAAAGTTAATGTGCGTGTAAAGGCAGAGGTCCCACTACTTTTGGCAATATAGTGTAGATGGATAGAGCTGGGTGCTAAGGGACCTTTATCAAAAGAATTAAAGTGAACAGAGGAGAGTACATTGGAGCAAAAAAAATAGAGCAGACACAGAAAAGAATGTAAAATCAGTGAAATTGAGCTTACCAAAAATGGCAGCAGAGGAGGAGAGCAGAGTGGAAGAGAGGAAGAAAATTTAAAGGGGAAAACAAATTAGTGGTTAGATTGGGCCAGCGTTGGTACTGGTAGTGATTGGTATCTATTGTATTCTGTGCCAGGTACATTGTGAGCTTTCTAGGCACTGCTGCTGTGAATTCTTGATTTGTACAGTGATGATAGGGGGTCACTTGCTCTGAACCTTGTCCATTTTGCAATTGGACTAGTGAAGAAGAGGGGCGGATGAACATCACAATGTACCCTTGTGCAATGATAGAAGGAACATCCTGTAAGAGCAAAGCTCATAGTGTATCTTTCACAGAATACAACTGAGAATTTTACCATCCCCAACAGCCCTCTGGATTTTAGATACCAATCAATAGAGGTAATGAAAATCTAACTTCTGAAAATCTTTTTTTGTTTTGTTTTCCTGGAGCTGCACTTTAACAATTAAGAGAGAGCCCAGAAAGGAGGTAGGAGTGAAGACCAAAGAGAAAAGCAGAAAGGTCATGCAAGAATCCCCCACTAACACTGACCGTAAACCAGAATTGACCTTGACTTTTTATATTGTACTGAAAATTTAAGATATAACTTGTTGAGCTTTTATTTTTTTTTTTTTTTCAATCATCTGTTTTGGAATAACAGCTTGATATTAACCACTTGCCCCCCCCCCCCCCACATAAGGTTTCCCCCTTTTCATGACCAGGCTGTTTTTTGTGCTACGGCACTGTGTTACTTTAGCTAACAGTTGCACAGTCATGCAATGCTCTACCCAAATAAAATTTGTTTTTTGTTTTTTTTGCACAAATAGAGCTTTCATTTGGTGATATTTGATCACCACTGAGTTTTTAATTTTTTGCGCTATAAACAAAAAAAGACAGCCAAGAAATAAAAATTATTTTCTGCTATAAAACATATCCAATAAAAAAATTAAAACAAATTTCTTTATTAATTTAGGCCAATATGTATGTAATTTTTGGTTAAAAAAATCCAAGTAAGCGTATATTATTGGTTTGCACAAAAGTTATAGCGCTTACAAACTATGGTGTGTGTATGTGTGTGTGTATGTATGTGTGTGTGTGTGTGTGTATATATATATATATATATATATATATATATATATATATATATATATATATATATATTATATATATATATATATAATTTGTTTTTATACTAGTAATGATGGCGATCAGCGCTTACAGTGGAACTGCAATATTGCAGTGGCCAATCTGATACTAACTGACACTTTGTAGGAACCAATGACACTAATACAGTGATCAGTGCTAAACATATACACTGTCACTGTATTAATGACACTGGCTGGGAAAGGGTTAAACATCTAGGGCAATCAAAGGGTTAACTGTGTGTCTAGCCAGTGTTTTGTGTACACAGTAATGCTTTGCAGGGAAAGAACATCTAGCAGATCGCCGCTCAAGAGACATAGGCAGAGCTGTGTCCTGTTACTCTCCCCACCAATCAACAGATGCCGGTGCTCTTCCATTTGCCAGCACCTGTTGATCAGCTTCTGCTGTGACAAATCACAGCAGAATTAATGTGCACGTGCCCCCTATGCCAGGCAGTGCAGAATTACGTTTATATACGTGTGACTTTGCACAAAACGGCCACTCTGTGGCAGTAAATCTGCTAAAGGGCAGTCTTGAACTGGTTAAGGTGACTGCAACAGTTAGGGCCATTTTTCCCTATTATATACTGTATTGCCTCCTGTGCGGCAATTATGAAGAGCCATATAGCTGTGGTTTGAGTGTTTAATATTGTTCTGTGGGAATACACCTACAGTCGTGCTGTACTGTATTTCACAGTGCAGATGTAACATGTTTAGACATCAGACCTGGATTTGCAAATAAAATGTCCTTATGGGTAATAAAAACAATATGTTTTAGTCTCTTGCTGTACTAAATGACTTGGCATAAATCATGCTTTTTTTCACCAGACCCTTACACACACAAACATTGGTGACTTATCCTAGGTCCCAGGTAATCCATATGCCTGAAAATGGATCTGCCAGCTGGCATTTCAAAATATTTATGTTCTTACCTATGAGCACATTTTCCCTAGCTGCATACTTTGTGATGATCACCTAATTTTTATTTTGGCATTAAAAGTAAAACGTTCTGGAAGCTATACAAATGGGGTGTAATACAAGCTGGGTATTTTTTTTAATGTAAGATTAATTTCTGCTGTTTATATTCTTCCTTCATAGAGTAACTTTAGTATGGCAATCTTAAATGTTGGTGCACCAGCTGCAGGAATGAATGCAGCTGTTCGATCTGCAGTACGAATTGGAATTTCTCAAGGTCACAAAGTCTTCATCGTGTATGATGGATTTGAAGGACTTTCCAAAGGACAGGTAATTCCTACACTTTTTTTTTTCTTTAATCTGTTTTATTTTTATTTAGGTGAGGCTAAAGCTGGCGCTGGCTATACGTGAATCGCAATTTTGCTGGTTCAGCAGGGAGCCGATGAATTTCGATCCATGTATGGGCAGGGTGCCTCTCTGTATAACCTGTCACTTCAGTGGGTATATGTAAGGATTTGCAGCCACTTTAATGCTGATATTTACTGTATGTTATTACAATCACCACTGTCTTTTTTTTTTTTTTTCATTTTATTAAAGATTCAGGAAGTTGGCTGGCATGATGTTGCTGGATGGTTAGGACGCGGTGGTTCAATGCTAGGGACAAAAAGGTGAGCCTGCTTGCCAAAAATATAATTTGACACAGTATATTGTAATTTTTGATTTGCATTATTTTAGTTGATGTAATGTAGCTTCACTCAAGGTTCTCTATAGTTTAGTATAAATAAACAGGAATTGCTTAATTTGTGTAAGTTAAAAAAAGGATGTGTTCTGCTCAACAGCCTTTGGCAGAAGTTCCAGTTAGGCTTGACGAGGTATATCAGTGAAGAACATGTCCTGATGATTTCTCAATGCTTTGGAGAGTTGCCTACCACTCTTCTTAGCATCTTTATTAATGAAGAAGATATCACAATATTGCCCTCACTTAACATATCATGCTGTATCTGGCTTTATTTCAAGAGAGCCCGCAGTTAGCTTGACCACTGAACAACTGAGGAAGACTTTTGATGGACCTGCCACAGCGATCTGACCTGAAGTGGTACCTGCCCCCCCTAAAAAAAAAATGTCTTCCTTATGTGGGAGAGGAGGGGGGGGAGAGGAAAAAGCGGAACTTCCCCTTTTGGGTGAAGTTCCACTTCCGAGAATTTAATCTGTGCTGCTGAAGATTCTATACTTGTCAAAACTCGTCCAACATTATCTCCTCAATTCAATTAATTTCAGAATATAGCACGTGTGGGGTAAAGAAGTATGCTGTCCCTATTTCTGCTGAGGTAGAAAAATCACTTGGCAGTTATGGATTTTCTAACGTTCTTAATTTTTCTTGTGTTGTTTCAATACTCAGAAGCTTTAGTAATGAATCCCTCCAGAGTTGAGCTTTTGCAACCCATGCTTGAATCTGTGAAGTTTGAATTCATGACTACTGTATGGCAATCCAGAGTTTAACTGGAATATATTTGTTGTGTACCATGTGTTTCATTATACATGCAAGGGCTCTGGCTCCTCTTACACACCAGTGCCACTGAGCTACAGTATATGTGACTTTCTTCACTAAATTAAAACCAAAAATAAGTTTGAGAGATCTATATGCCTTTTTGATGAAAAGTTACAAAAAATACTTAGCTGTAAAGTGTATGGACAAAGAGAAGTCATGAGAAACATTCCATCTTAAAATTAGACGTTGTTTTCATAATATTTCTGTGTAGTTCAGATCAGGCTAGGCAGCCTAGGCATGTCACCCACATTAGTAGTAGGGTATTAAGATACTTTAACTTGAGTAATCATACACGATTGTCCATAGACAAACCACAGCATAGCCTATAGTATAGTTCATAGAAAACATGGTTTATAGTCCTCAATCCAACATGATTGATTATAGTCCATATGAAAAGATCCACAGAAATCAAGATAAAATGTGGTTTCCAAGTTTTATATGAATACATTTCCACTTAATATGAAAAAGGTTAATTATTCAGTAGTCACAAAGCAGCTATTAAACGTACATGTAATTTTCTATAATATAGTATGATACCTTTATTTTGCGACTCTGTACTGTATACTTCATAATTGAAAGAATATATTAATAAAAATTGTCTGTTTTACTTTTTAAGAACAATTCCAAAAACTTGTCTACCCCAGATTGTAGAAAACATTAGAAAATATAACATCCATGCTCTTTTGGTTATCGGAGGGTTTGAGGTAAGTTCAACCTTTCAAAATGTATTCAGATCTAAGGGTAATTATATGTATATTATACTGAAAACGAAGCCCCGAACTGTGAAAAGGACTTGGCCAGCTACCATTTGTTAGTCTTGGAACAGCTCTGGAAAGCGAAGCTATAATTTAAACATGCAGAATGGCAGAAAGAAGCAGAGGTTTTGCCCTTTCTAACCAAATAATAGATGACTTAATTGCTCTAGATGTCTTTTATTTATATGCATCAAAAGATGGTGGGTTTTTTTTTCTAACAAAATTGCTGAATTTTAGCATTTCCCATAGAACCTGAAAAGTTGTCAGCAGGCAGCTTGCTATGGTGGCACCCGAGCAGGCGTGCTTCCAAGCCGAGGCTTTGTGTGTCCACTCACACACACAGCCACGGCCTGGCCCCTCTCCTGATTGGTTCACTGGCTGCGATTGCCAGCATCAGGAGCCAATGGCTTCATTGCTGCCTCAGCCAGTCAGGAGTGAGAGTCCTCAGATAACCAAGGCTCTCGTGGACATCGCTGGATCAGGCTCAGGTGAGTATTAGGGGGGTCTCCTACACACAGAAGGTTTTTTACCTTCATGCATAGAATGCATGAAGGTAAAAAACCATGAGCCTTTAGAACCACTTTAATCAGCATTTTTGGGAGTTTTTTTTTTTTTTTAAATATTTCTTTCTCCTTACATTCTAATAATAATAATAGAAAGCTAGAAGTGTCAGTGACAGGGGAGGTGGGTGTGTTCATTCTGCTCTTCCTCTCCATGGACTAAGGAATCCTACCACATCAAAGTGGTGAATTCAACAGAAGTTTGTGTGTGTCCACAACAGGGAGCTGTACAGATACATGAATGTAATTACATCAGTAGAAACTTACAAGTGTTATTGACAGGAAAAGTTTGTATTCTGACCTCTAGGTATCTAGGCCAGTAAATACGTAGGGTGATAGGATCAGCTCCTGCCTGTAGCCCAAAATTTCCTCAAATATTTAAGCCTTCTGAGCTCAGGAGAAATAAAGCTCCAGACACCGAAGTGTACAAGCTAAATCTCTAAAGGTTTAATGCATACAAGCAATTTTATTTTTATTTTTCAGGTACTTTATATAGCGCTGTCAATTTACACAGATCTTTACATATATGTTGTACGTTTACATCAGTCCCTAACCCTCAAGGGGTATACAATCTAAGGTCCCTAACTTACATTTGTATACTAGGGCCAATTTATACAGGATCCAATTAACCTACAAGCATGTTTTTTTGAGTGTGGGAGGAAACCGGAGTACCCGGAGGAAACCCACGCAGCCACAGGGAGAACATGCACACTCCAGGCAGGTGGTGCCGTGGCTGGGATTTGAACCAACGACCCTTGTACTGCCAGGCGAAGTGCTAACCATTTAGCCACTGTGCTGCCTGCAATGAAATATTGCACTCTTATCAAAGAAGATAGTAACCACAAATGGCTGAAGACCACAATATAAGGTAGTTCCGTTTCTACAGAATTGAAACCAAAGCTATGAAACGAAAGAATTAACAAGTGAAACTAACTTGTTCAGACATCTAAAATGGAGGCATTATACAAAATGGATGCCAGTTAATAAGACATCCTTACAAAGGGTATTTCGTAATATTAGAACTATGTAGATTACCATTCAAATCACAGCTAAAAAGCAGGTGTGCTCCACGGAATTTAACAGCAGAAGGAATATTCAACAAAATGTTTGTTGTGATTTACATTTTGGCAGGACGCAGCCTGCCTTTCTCTAGACTCCAATTATTAGTATGGTATTATGAGTTGACTGTTAACATATAACCTTTATTGGGGAATTTATAAATGTTAGTTCAAAACTGTCTTTTTCTAAATATACCCTTAGGGAAAGGGGAACACCTTTTGCATCACAATATATGTGATCCATATTGTTGTAATTAACGACACAACCAATTAAGCCAGTATATACACCTAATAACACAGAAATAATCAGAAATACCAATGTTCATGGATAACCTATATCCTGAGGAGAGGGATAGATCTATTGATGTTGAAATTAAGTCTGTCTTGTACGCTTGGTACCAAGGTCAATGTCTGAGACAGGAAATGGTTTGTCATAGCTGCAATAAAATGGGATAAATGTTGGCTTATTTTGTGGCTTTTAATGAACTTCTATAAGTAAGTTTATTCTGTCTCGGTAAAATGCCATTTGACATGATGTAAATGGCGTGAATTTATACTGAGCAGATTTGAAAACGATGGCTGTTTAAACTTTGACCTGTTTTTGCAACGAAATGTGAATTGCTATTTATGATGTTTGTACAGTTCTCATCCTCCAGAGGTTGCTGTTGGATTTTATGTTGTGCAGCCTTGAGGAGAGAGAAGAATTTTGATTCATTACAGCTGCAATGTAATAATTTAATAATGGAATAAACTACAGTTCTTATATATTAGTGGTTTAATATTGGCCGTTTTTTTTTTCTTATTAATCCCGTCAAAATGTTATTTTAGGCGGTGGATCCTGATATTCATCCTCAAGATGGTGTTGTTATATCCATACTGAGCATGTGCTGAAGTTGGTATGGTTAATATGGCGCTGCTGATGTCATTAGTGTAATGACATGCGAGTTACGTGACGTCATTACGTCAGGTACGTGGTAGCCATATTGGCCATCCAACCTATAAATAGAACATACAAACAATTGACACCATTTCCTCACCAAATGGTGAGGGGGGCCTTCAGCATCCGTATACTATACCCACCCTGAGCTGTAATAAAAAAAATGGAGAATCTGAGAGAGAGAAAAAAAACAAGCAAATAACCAAGATGAATCAACCCTATACTTGGTAGAAGTGTAGGGTTGACTCGGCTTGGTTATTTGGTTGTTTTGGGGTTTTTTTCCCTCTTTCTCTTCTTCTCCATTTTTTTTGCTTGTAGCTCAGGGTGGGTGTAGTCCACTCTAATTATTATTATTATTGTATTTCTTTATGTAACATCTTTATTCTAGACATACAAAATCCTGTTCTTTATGCATCCATTCCATGAGGAACCCCTTGTTTTCGCACTGTCTGATCACAGGCATGAAGGAGCTGGGACAAGGGGCTGAATAATGTGCTCTACCAATAGCACACAGGAAGTGCAAAATACTGCTCAGGGACAAGTCTGTTCCCTTGCCACGAAGCTGTGTCCTTTTCTGACACTGCCCCCCACCCCTCTGACTTTATCTCCCTCCCAGGTGCACATAAAGCAACCTATCTGACAAAAGCATATTTTTGTACCACTATGAATTCTTCAAGAAAAGTTTCAGCACTCTCAGAACCTTTCGTTTCCAGAGGCTGAAAATGGTACAATGCCTCCTCCCTCCCCCATCCCCCCGACTCTGTGCGTGATTCAGAGATGGAGCCTCCTAACTTGTTTGAGGATTAAATGAAAGAAAGCAAGAGGGGACACAGATGTTATAGTGTAAGCTGCACAGGAATAAACCCCTGTGTTTTTATGAGACACACACTAAGGGATCTTGGCAGTTACTCTCAACTGTAGATAACAGTGATTGCTGCAAACTAGTCTTTGCCTAGTACCTAAGTCTCCACAGCCAAATGAGTCCCTACAGGCGCTAGGGCTAACAAAATCAAAAAAGACTTTTGCTATCCTTGTATAAATGGAATGTTAGTTTTATGAGGACTAGCCTAACCCTGAAAAGAAATGTACTTCTCTTTAATTCCTTTTCTGTTGGATACATTTCAGCAAAAGGCTTAAGAAGAAATGGGCAATCCTGATAGTAGTAGATGCCATCATTTCAGTCCTTAGTAAGCACCTTGTATATACTTTTGTGCATGTTCCCTCTCTGTTAAGTGTTTGAAGCTCTCTTAGGGACCTTATTTGCACTTGCAAGTCCAGCCTTGCAGTCAGTAATGTCTATTTGCTGGACAAAGCAGATAAATGGACAACACGAGTCTGCCTTTAATGACCCCGTTCTCCTAAAACAATGGCAGCTGATGCAGCCAACCTTTTTGTTTTGTGTAGATGCTTTAGAGAATGTAATTTGCCAAACCTCTAGAATGTCTCTTATATCTGTGCACATGCTCAGGATTTTCTGGTTAAAAGCTTGGCCTGCTGAACCTTCTTTAAGATGTGCATTTTCTACTGAATGCCCCTTTGGGGAATCCCTTGATAAATTTTATCTGGGTAAAGATGCCCCTATCCCATCAGAAAAAGTCTTAAGCCCTTCCACTCAGCTACTATTGCTGCTTATGGAAAAGGTCCATTTTGTTCTTCCCAGGCATCAGTCTCCAAACCAAGACTTAGTACTTCTTTTTGTTACAAGCCCATGTCCTCCAAACCTGCCCAGAAGCCCTCCTCACAATGAAGGCATGCCTTCACCTCTTATAGTGGATGACATCTGTTGGCAATGCCGTCAGTCTGGATCTGAGAAGTCCTGGACCTCTGGGTCTGATCTTTATTTCACAGGGGTACAAAATTTCTGTCTCTTCCCTTTCCAACCCTCCAATCTGCCAGCATCAGCTCAAAAACAAGCAGATTTTCGTCCATTTACACTCTTTAATATTTTTTTAATCACTTTTAATAACATCCCTTGTAATAACTGGAGCAATGACATGTCCTCTTTATGGGAAGGACTGCCCTTAAAAGCATCTGATCAAACCAAATTCGGTTTGAAGAGATGCTTTCCTAAGCTAGTAATGATTTATTTACATCCTGGCAAAACCATAACAAAATACTAATTGCTTCCATTTTTTTAGACCATACAGATGATCATGGACATTCCAGTCATTAATCATCTCAATGGTAAGCCAGAAGAACTGCTGGCTTCAGTCCGGAGCACCTGGTGGCCCTTTCTGCCACCTGTAAAACCAATTTAGTGGCTAATTGGCCATTAGAATCACTTTTACATGGACCTGGAAAAAATATAGGCACCACATTGGCTTTGCGCCAAATTAGTCAATAAAGCGTCTCTAAAAATTAAACACACTGGCTTAGATGTAACTCAGCTCTTTG